TACTAAAATACAAAAAATTAGCCAGGCATGGTGACACATGCCTGTAGTCCCAGCTACTCAGGAGGCTGAGGCACAAGAATTGCTTGAAACCAGGAGGCGGAGGTTGCAGTGAGTCAAGATTGTACCACTGCCCACTCCAGACTGGGCAACAGTGAGACTGTCTTCAGAAAAAAAAAAAAAAAGAATCCATCACATCTGGGATACTATTCTTGAAACCCCAGGAGGCCCTTTGAAAAGATGCTGTGTCATTTGTGCAGTGCTTGAGTCTACTCTGAGTCTATTTCCATGTCTAGTTCATGCTACCTAATTCTTTGTTCTTGTCATCTGTCACCTCATTCTTTCTCCAGTTTCACTTATCTCAGTCTTTAGTTTCCCTCACTCTGCTTCCCACATTTCTCTCTAACTTTTCCAACAAAACCTCCAAAACGTGATTCCTCTTTCCTTGGCATTATTGTATGTTAGAAGGTCTGGCAGGAGTGTTTTCACAGCCTTGGTCAGGCCAAGGTTTGGGGAGTCCTCACCTTTGCTAATTTGATTCTCTTTGGGACCAGGGTGGACAATGGGGGAGGGCAGAACCTTTTCTCCTGTGAGATTGGGCAAGGAATGAATGAATAAATACACAATGGCAGCACAGAAGGGCCCAGAGCATAGCTGAACATACTGAATCTGAACTTGAAATCTAAGAAGTCAAACATTTGCATTGTATAGAGATGCCCCATGGAGTAGGAGAGAGACTTTAATCAGACAAGGACAGACACTTACTGAGCCAGGTAACATAGAATCATCAGATTGAGTCAAGTTCAACATGAAAATCTTTAGGAGCTTAAAAATGCTTTATTTGAATAATGGTCCTAAATTTGCACTTCAGATCACTCTGATTCAAAGTATTTGCTTGTGTAGGAGGTAGAACTTGGCAACATACAGATATTGCTGTTTCCTTGGCAAAGGCATTAGAATAGTAAAAAGTCTCCCAAAACTTTTCAAATATTTATGGGATTCAAATTTTCCCATGCTGCTCGTAGATATTTATTACATACATGTTTATCCAGTAAAATATTTATGACAGGAATGATTGTATCCGTTGTTGATTTGCTTGGCTTTCAATGTGGATTCCACAAGGGTAGGCTAAGGATATTAACATGGGAACAAGGTTAGAATTGTAATCGCTTGTCACAGATAGATAGGTTGAAACCAAAGATGGAAGCTGCTGTCGGAAGAGTAAGTGCTGAGATTTGGAATAGTCCCTGGACAGGGCTGTGAGAGCTAGGATTTGCTTCTCTTGATACATGACTGCTATGGAAAGTGTAGTAATCTCCATTTTCACTCCTCTGGGAGAGCTAAAGTAGGTATAAACACTGTTTAATAAAGGGTGTTGGGCACTTTCTGGAATTTGTCATAAAAGTACCTAATCTGTCCACGTGCCTTGCAGTTTTAAAAGTCGAATACATTGACACCTCTTTCTAATACTGTTGCTGGAGGGCAGGGAGACTCATACTCTTGTTACAGGCCCTTCTTTTATATTTTTTTCTACCATAAGTGGCCACTTTTGCTTTGGGATAAAGCTCTTTTATAATGGACTCATCTCTGTATTTTAAATAGCTAGAGAGAATTTCAGCACATATAATCCTGGTTTAATTCCAAATGAAGAATTAGAAGTTCACTAAAACAAGTATAACTTTATCGATAGTTTAAAAACATCCTGGAAATCTAGGGTGTACCTAATATTATTTTGGTGCTGCTCTGAAGATGGTTTATAAAATCTAGCCTTCAAAGCAGGATATTTCATGTTTTAATTCATCTATGATACTGCTTGGTGAAGTTGATAGTATTTATACAGTAAAATAAAATTATTTCTTATTTGAAAGGAATGTTCCAGTTGGATGTGATTTCCTTGATACCAGCACATAATTCCTATATAAACCAAAAACTAAAAGTTCACTGTCAGGCAGGTCCTGGGTTTCATTCCCAGTATCTCCACCTGCTGCCTGAGTGACCTTAGACATATGACCTACATTTTCTATGCCCCAGTGTCTTCATTTGTAAACTGGGGCCATAATTATACCTATTTTATTGAGTGGTGAGAGTTAAATGAAGTAATATAAGTGGTAATGGACTTAGCACAGTGCTTGGCACATTTAAATGATTTAGCACACTGCTTGGCACATTTACATGATCATTGAATGATGGTGGTTCATAGATTAAGATAAATAACAAATGAGGAAAATTCAGCAAGCTCAATTTGACATTTGCATGTTAAATGTTAATTTTACCATGCTTAAAATTATACTTCAACCCAAAAAAGAGTTTCACAGACATACAGATGAGGAAAAAAATAGCAAATAAAGGATAGGAATAAAAATAATAAAGGAATTCTGTGTATTGGGTGATTATCTCATGAAATCATGAAAGCAGCAGAAAAATAAAAATAGTTTGAGAATGGAATCTGATCTGCTTAGAAAACTCTGGCTACCAACAACACACAAGAACTCTAAAGAGGAACCTCTGTACAATTCAATAATTATAATCACTTTAATTACAAGGAGACGTTGTTTTTAGTATCCTGATTATGATTTTCCCATGGCCTGAACAACCTGGTGATTTCTGAGAGTCTCCATAAAATTAATTGCAATGAGCAATATGAAGTTTGCTAAAAGACCAATACAGGAGTTTATGAACGTTCTGGAGAGTCACAGTGATGGCTATACAGCTTGTTTGTCCGATTTAGTGACACAGTGAGCATACTTTATGAAATATCACTGATTCATCACCTTGGTTCTGCTGGTTAACTGCCCTCAAATGGGAGTTATATGAAGGAGCTAGCGTTCCTCCAAAAGCTATGAAAATAATTTTCTGTTATAATAGCAGTCATTAAAATATACCAACAATATGCTTTTAACATTATGACAATAATAAATACATGGTACCAAAAATATGCTTATCACTTCTGAGCAGTTTTTGTGTGCCAGGGACTATTCCAAACAATCTTCTTGGATCATCTTTACCCCAATTTCCTTTGATAATTCTCTTATTCCCAACGTGCAGACGAGAAAACTGAGGCACTGAGAATTTGAGTAACTTTGCTTAAGTCCCATCCAGGAAATCGAAGAGCCTAGAATGCAAAGTCAGATAAGACAGTCTGATTCCAGAATCTGACCTAGTCACCATTGTGCTAAACTGTCTCCCAGCAAGCCTGAGAAACACCACCTCCCCAGCTTGGACGGTCATAGGCTTATTGGTGTAGTAAAGACTCAGAGGAGTGCATAGGAAATGATTGGTAAAACAGATTGTGGGAAACATTGTCCCAAAACATGAATGGGATTCACCTAACAATTCACTTGACTGAGTTATTTTCTTCTTCTTCTTGTGCCTTAGCATAATGGGCTTTTATGGCTGCAGTATATTAACTGTTGAAGTCGTATTTCAACTTTCTCATTTTGCAGAGAGTTTAACTTATACAAGGTCTCATAGTAATAAAATTAGTAGCCATAATAAATGTGTACTGAGTGCTTATTGTATGTCAGGCACAGAGCTTAAACATTGCATATACTTTTATCCATGAGAAGGGAATTATGGTCATCACCCCCTTTTAACAGATAAGAAAAATAAGGCGCACAGCTAATGAGTAGGGAAAAAAAAGTTGATTTGATCCCAGGTCTGAATCTCAAGCCCATGCTTTTAACCACTATGTATCGTGAAAATAAAATAACAGGAAGCCAGACCAAAGCTGAGTAAGATCCTTGGGAAATGTAAATGGAAGATAGACCACAGATAGTTGGGATTTGTGGGATGTCTTTTGTTCCAGAACTGCAGTGGAAAGATACATATTCCAGGTATCTCAGTTTGGAATAGTTAACATATTTTCCCATATAATAGTTAAATCTGATGGGAAGATACATGTATTCAGCAAACATGAAAGTGCCTACTATAAGCCATAGGTCTCCTGGTAACTTCTAGGCTTAATGGTTCACTGAATTAAATGGGCATGCACAGGTGAATCTTATAATGGAACCTAACACCACATTTAGCATTTTCTTTATTAGAAAATGTATGGCAAGTTTCAGTCAACCTACAGTTAAATATTAAAAATACAACTTGCTCATAGTTGGTTGCTACTTGCCTTGATCTTAATGAAGAAATTATTAGTAAAGAATATATAGCTATCACTATAGGAATGATTATATTTTAGTAGGGCATGTTCGTGTGCAGTCTGTAGTTGCACTTAAGAGAGTTTTTGGATTCAAAATCTCCAAACTTCTGGAGATAATGAAGTTGCTTGTGAATGTGATTAGTGGAGAAGAAGGTCAACTTATATAGGGATATAATCATATTCATTTCATGGAGGTGGCTTCATGATTTGTATAACTTATATTTACAAACTCTGGCTCTGACTAATGCAAATTTTAAAATTGACTTTTCATGAGTGATACCAAACAAGATCTGTCAAGAGTTCCATTATTTTCAGTTGTGCTTTATTAAAAGCAATGGGAAAGAAAGTAGATATTATGTGTGTGTTTAACAAGATGTTAGTACACTTCTGATTTTAATATTCACTTGAGGAAATCAAGCAGACCCACTAAATATTGCTGATAAGTTGCAGGAAACGTTGGCAGAGACATTTATTATCAGCCTTTAAAGTTCTGGGAGAGAATTGTGCTGTGGTGCAGCACTTTGATGGGATTGCCTTTTTGCAGTGGCATGGGAGGAGTGAGAAACACCTACCTTGGCTAGAATTTTAGAGCAGTGTTTTCTTTGGCAAACTGCATTTTATTTGTGGAGGTGTCTGTCTGGGAGGAGGGTCATGGGGACATGCATGACCCACATCAGAGAAGATCTTAAAATGGTTTATAAACTCCTAATTGTCTAGAAATTCAAGTCAGACTGTTTGAAATGGGGACAGAGAAGTCACACTGTTATTCAGATACAGGGCTTCTGCACACCTCCTGGCTGGAGGATGTCTTCTCTGGAGCCTTCATTTCTTTATGCTCTGTCCCTCTTTGCAGAGTCCTCGAATGCCACCTTGCTGACCAATGCAGAGAAGATCGCCACCATCACCACCACACACACCCCTTCTCAGCAAGGGACCCAGGAGACAAGGTCAGACATGGCTTTGGTTTCCTTTGTTAAAGGGGAAAAAAGTAACTCCCAGCATGACAATATATGTCCTTGATTCTTTCTCAGTTTCCTAATGGGTTGCTCTTGTATTTATTTCTCTCACTTCGGCAGGAATACCACCAAACCAAAGCAGGAATCTCAGTTTGAGTTCAAAGCACCCCAGGCAACACAGGTGAGCACCATTTCTCTTTTTTCTCTATACTTTGCACATTTCCTTCCAACTTTCTCAAGCTATTTTTATGGGATATTTTTGAAGCACCTTTAATTTAAAAGAAATAACCTTTTGTGAGGTGATTTACCAAATATATACTTACATTTGATTTTCTAGGAAATAACATTTTATTTTGCTACCTTGAAATATTCCTAGATAGCCTTTTCTAGGGGAAAAAAAAATGAAAAGCAGTAATTGTCACAAGGATCGGCAGTTAGAGAAAGCAAAGCAGCCAATATCTACTCATAGTTTTCATAAACATACTTCTGCCCAGAAAATGTCTTTTTGATAAGGTGTTTTTCAGGCTTGGGAATTTAAGGTGAGATCTGTAGAGCAAAATACCTGTCCTCAGGATGGCAAGGGAGAGTGTGAAAATAATAGCAGGTAAAACAAATTTGAGGAACTTTGGGTGATGCAAAATTAAACAGATTCCCTTTTTTTGTTTTGTTTTGTTTTTTAATTAAGAGACAGGGGTCTCACTATGCTGCTCAGGCTGGACTGAAACTCCTGGGCTCAAGCAGTCCTCCTGTCTCAGCCTCCTGAGTAGCTGGTATTACAAGTGCCCAACTGAGTTCCTTCTTTACTGGTTGCCTGGGGGCTTTCGGTTGGCCCTTTGTAATTTTCCTTGACTGGGATTTGGAGAGGTTTTGTTGGTATCCTCATGATGGGCACAGTCTGCATTTATTGGACACAGGTCAGGGAGGCTGGGCATCCAGCAGCCAGGTGACTGGTATCATGTAATGAGGAATTGTCCTTCCCCAAATGCAAATCATGGCCTCACTGATTAAATTTTAATCCACATATGTTACATTAAATACACACATGCATTTGGACATGCTCATAAATGTTTTCAAATTCTGGATCTCTGACTTCTGAGATTAATGAGGATGAATCAAGATGATTAATAAACAAGAGTCACCAAGATAGGGATAGAGGTTGTGCCTTTTAGCCAAGAATGTTTAGGAAGACTCCTATGGATATTAATTCTCCTAGAATGATTGCATTTAACTTCTTTAAATAGGAGCAAGATTTTTACACTGTGGAACTGGAAAGAGGAGCCAAGGGATTTGGCTTTAGCCTTCGAGGAGGCCGAGAGTATAACATGGACCTCTATGTTCTGCGCTTAGCAGAGGATGGTCCTGCAGAGAGGTGTGGAAAGATGAGGGTAAGTGGAGAGAGGAGTCTGGGGTAGGTGCAAATAAACCATCTGCAGTGAATTCTTGTCATATATTGTTAGAATGTTAATGTTCATAAGAATTACATTTTCTGTGGCTTTCATGATTCTCTTAAATGCATGACTCCTACCCTACCAAATATTTCTCCCTAAAGCACAATTATAGCTGCTAAAGTTAGGCAAACACTTCCAACTCTTTGGGGTTGATATAGGGAATAAGGGATTTAAATTACTTATAAACATATTAAAGTAGGTATTTTTCAGAGCCTATTTCTATAGTTCTTGTGCTTAATGTCATGGGGCAGGCACATCACTTGACAGGAATTCTGGGGTACCCTGGGATGCTTAGAGAGCAGGAAAGTCATGTGGCCCTGTAGATTCTGGGCAGTGAGGTCTACTCATCCTCTAGCTGGCTACCAGTGGTCTTACCTTAGGCTTAGAGAGAGCAAGTCTACTCTCTGTCTTAGCAAAGAGCCAGGGCTCTGTGGCATGAATATTCAGAGTTGCTCTGTAGTAAGAGCTACAAATTTTAAATACATAAATGCCAAAAGTCCACTCTGCTCTGTTTCACTAATATCTGTTACTGTAGATGAATGTGCTGTTCTCCTGGGCAGATTAGATAATTAAGAAAACATAAATCATCTACTCATAGATAGGTCACATAGATTGGGACTTGCCTATGGAGAGCCATTTACAACAAATTAAAAGAAATCAAGACAGTCAGGCCAGGAAAGGAAAAAAAGTGAATGCAGTTGAGCCTCAGCAGAAAAAGGGAAAAACTGATTAAGGATGAGGATCATAACACTTGAACTGAAGCCACAATCTTGATGTTTAAGTTTCTTCAGAGTGAATTTTTTAACATTTAAAATTGAGAAGGTAGAGCATGAATGTATTTTACGAAAATGGTATGTAGTAAAAATATAGTGTCCAGGGTCAAACAGTATACCAGTTTCTCTCATATCCTTTTTTTTTTGCATGTACATATACAAGGGAAGATACATGGTGGTATATATTTCTTTTGTTTGAATTTCAGACATAAGGAATTTATTTTCCCTTGCCTTTTAATCACTTAAAAATGTTTTTGATCAAGTGAAATATTATTATGCTATTTTGTATAATGGTGTATAGTTTACAAGACAGGTTTACATGTATTACCTGATTTGATGCCAGCAGCTTAGTGGGCATGGGTGGTGGTACCAGCCTTTTCTACAAGTAAGAAAGTAAACTCCAGAAAGTTAAGTACTGGGAGCAAATCAGTTACCAAATGATAGGATTCAAATTAAAGACTGTAGACTTGAAAGCCAGTGCTATTTCTCTTCTTTTTAGAACATAAGCTCTATTTGAGTGGGGATCTGCCCTGTCTTATTTATTCTTTAATTCCAGTGCCTAGAACAGTGACTGACACAAAGTGAATGCTGCATTCAGTGTATCAGTTGGGATTATGGTCTCATCTGAAGTCTCACCTGGGGAAGGGTTTGCTTTTTAAACTCACTCACGTGGTTGTTACCAGGATTCAGTGCCTTTAAGGCAGTCCCTCGTTTCATTATCATGGAACTCCAGAGGATGGCTCATAACATGCATCAGGGCAAACAAGTGAGAGAAGAAAAGAGAGCAAGTAAGACAGATGACAAAATCATTTTATGACCTAATCTTTGAACTGATACCATGTTTGCTATATTCTGTTTATTAGAAGCAAGTCACTTGATCCAGCTTACATTCAAAGGCAGGGGGATATTACACAGATTGTGAATGCACAGAGGCAGAAATCATGGGAGCCTTCCTAAAAGCTCCCTCCCCAACCACTAACATGCCCTTACTGCTTTTTTTTTCCCCTTTATCATGTAATTCGGCATACATGTAGTTTTCTAATTGTCTTAATTGTCTTTCCCTCTTTAGAATATAATCTCCATGAGGGCAGGGATTTCTGTTTTTGTCACTGCCACATCCAAAGCAATAGATGTTCTGCCACATGCTCAATAAATATTTGGTGAATCCATACATGAATTTTAAATCTCACCTAGTTTTCTTTTGCCCTGACAGATTGGTGATGAAATTTTAGAGATCAATGGTGAGACCACCAAAAACATGAAGCATTCTCGAGCTATAGAACTGATTAAGAATGGTGGCCGCAGAGTTCGTCTGTTTCTGAAGCGGGGAGACGGCTCAGTACCAGAATATGGTGGGTCAAACTATGAAAACATTCCTTCCTTCCCTGGCATGACTCCATGAATTTGTCTCCAGAACGGCAGCAGGAAAGTCTTTTTTGTTTCCCCTATTCACCAGTGTCTTACCAGCCTCTCGCACCATGTGATTATTTGCCTCGCTTGTTCTGAAATCTCTACACATTTCATCCTTTTGCTTGCTTATGTGGACTGGGGCATGGCCCAAGACAAGATCTTTATAGCCCCCTTTCTGATAATCAGAGAGAACATTTTGTCTAGTCCGACCGAGAGCGAAGGAATGTTTGTTTGAACTGTGCCAAACTGTTCCTCAGATCCAATTGTTAGCACAAAATGACTATATACTCCTTTTAAGAAGCAGGAAAGCAGGTTTCCTGAGTGATATGTTGAGGCACAATTATTTTTTCCTTTTTGGTTACTTGGTGTCTTTATTTAAGAGGCATGAAATTTTGAGAGATTTGGGGGCTTTGCTCACCTCCTTTATGCTCTGTATACAACACTTCTCCATCCCCCAACTGGTCTCTTACCCCAAATCAGACCATCTGAGCCCACTACTATCAAACAAACAAAAACTGTTAATATATTAGCCATAATGTTTTTAAATGATAAAGGATGAAATAAATTCCCAGTGCTCATCATGAGGGAAACATGTGATTATACCTTTCCTATGAGGAAAGCCAGGTTATACATAGAGTTCCTTTGTCATATCTTTAAACTTGATTTGAGTAGACAGTAATGATCTTTACATAGCTTAGTGTTCTGATGGCAAAATATTGTATATGATAATAATTATGTCCTATTTATTTGAGATTTGTGTTTAAAATTAAAAAAAAAAAAAAAAAAAAAGCTATGCCCTAGATGTAGGGCTTTTTTTCCCAACCAAAGGTCTACAAAAGTTTCTATAGAAACTGTGATTGAATGGTCCCCATATACGTTGGTCCCCTTTATTAGGGATTTATCTATTATCACCCTCTTTTCTGAAAGTCATTCTGCACAATTCTCAGTTGCATTTTGGACTTGATGATATGTTTAATTCAGATGCAGCTCAAGGAGAAGGATAGCTCTTTGGAGGGCCAGCCTTCCCAGGTGTTGGACATTTGTACAGGTGCAAAATACGAGGGGTCCGAGGTACAGGGGGAGGGTGAGTATTAGACAAGGCCCCTATAGACATGGCCAACCACAGGGGAAGTATTTTTGACAACATTAAGATGCTGTGGCTGTGCACTGTACTAAACTTCTGACCATTAGGTGTGTTGATACCACTGAAACTGTGTAACATTGTCTCCCTTTTCTGTCTTCCCTATGCTTCTGTTGGATGTGATATTTCATTTGAGAGTCATCGTCAGTAACCTGTGTACCTTCTCAAAACCTATGTCTGTTGCACTGAGGATGAAAATCCAACACTAACAAATGTTCTTTGGGCTAAAAATAAAGATCATTGAAATACATGGTTTTCCAAGAAGGGTTGAACCTGCCAGGGTTGTGCTACTGTAATGTCTCCATGCGTCACTTGGACTAAATCTCTCTAATTCCATTGATTAGAGTCACAAATGGGTTATAATATGTTAAGTTCCAATATTTTTCTGACCTGATTGGAACCTGCTTCTCTGTGAGGCTATTTTTGTAATGAGTTTTTTGTACTTAATTTAACTGCCGCGGTCTTTGGTGGGGGTGGGAAGGGATTTTGTTCTTTTGTTGTTTATTGTTAATGCTCTCCTATGCCAGTCTGTCATTGTTCCAGTTGTTTGAAAAAAACAAAACAAAAAAGGATGCATTCATTGTCTGGGTTCTCGAGTCACCTTATGGCTGTCTGAAAATGTCACTGTTTCGATTGCGGTCTCTGCAGCCTTATTTAAGTGTTGCCTTAGACTGTCTGACTGGACAAATAAACTCTCTTTGCCCTATGTTAACAAATGCAGATTTTTTTTTCTTTCCTCTGTGTTATAGGGAATCTAAATGTTCAACTTTTTCTCTTTCTCTCTTTCTCTTTCTCTCTGACTGTTCTTGGTGCTGGGCCCTCCCTTCCACAGCGATGATACCTCCTAATATCGCTGCATGTATGAGAAATGAAAAGCTCGGGGAGGCTTGCTTCTACCTTATGGGCCATAATCAAACTACGGTTTGTAGCTCAATCAATACTAGGTGTTTCTGTGCTGTGGCCTAATTTCCTCATTGCTTCTGCTTAGCTCTGTTTTGATATGTTTGGCAATTCATTCTGAGCACCCTGCGTTCTTTGAATTGTAAGTACAATGCTGACCCTGTTGAAGTGTTGCCCTCCCTTGTCTTAAAAGTAGGCATAAGAATCCAGTGGTGATCCAAGTACCTTCATGTATCCAAGTCTTCAAATGACCTTTGTTAAGAACCTGTTTTTTGCTCATTCTTGTAGCCAACCCAGCATTTAGAAAGAATGAACTTTGTATCATGGAGCCCTGTATCATAGGGCTTTGCTAGATGGGAAGATGAGATTTCCTGCTTGGTCAGGTATCTCTTAGCAAACTACAGTCCCTGGGCCCCATCCTGTCCATAGCCTGTTTTTGTAAGTAAAGTTTTATTGACACATAGCCATGCCCATTACTTTTGTGTTGCCTGTGTTTTTATACTACAGTGGCAGAGCTGAATAGTTGTAACAGAGATGGTGCGGCCCAAAACACCCAAATTATTTACTATTGCCCTTTAGAAAAAGTTGGCTGACCCCTGCTTTTGGCTTTTCACTTGCTTTTGTTAAAAACCCACTCTAGGTTTTGGAAAGTTGTCATAAAACAGGTTAATTGCTAAATATTGGCCTTGTTGGCTCATGAAAGATCCTTAAAGAGCCCCAGTGACCCCTTAGTCTCTGACTGTCATACGAGTCTGCCCTCCAGACTGCAGCACCTTGTTTCAGGCGCTTTGCTTGGAATGGTGTCATGTGGATGACTTGTTGGGTTTAGTTGCAACAAAGCATCCCAGCTTTGAAAAGAGCTCTCCTCAATTCAGGACACTGCCTAAAACATTTGCACTGTCATTTCAAATATTGAATAATGATAAATAGGGGCCATTATGGGCTGCCCTGCTTTTAAACATATAGAAACCTTGATGTTATAGGAAGCAGCCCAGTGACTCCAAGCTCTTAGATGTCATTATGACTACCTCCCATATCATAAAGAAAAAGTGCCTCTAAACTGAAAATTTTATCTGACCTCCATCCAATCTCAAATGTGTACCTAGCAACTTCTCTTCCCCTCCCTTTTATTCTCTTCCCCTCCCTTTTATCTATCAGAAAACACCTTTTAAAAACAATTCCTTATTTTTTAATGTATGCAAAAGTAGAGAAAGTAGTTGAATAATACAGATAGAACAGTTTAATGGGCCTTTGTGTACATATCCCATTTGCCAGTCATCAACATCTGACCAGCATGTTGCCTCTGTAATCCTCTTTGCCTGCTAGGTAGCCTGGATTTTTTTTAAATAGAAGTATACTTTTGCATATGGTAAAATGCATAAATCCTGAGTATACAGTGCAGTAGATTTTTTCACTTCTGTATGCACCCATTTAATCACCACCCAGATAAGATGTAGATAATTCCTGCCCTACTCCAGAAAGCTTCCCAGGTGCCCCTTCAGATCAATACCCTAAATTATTTTTAAGTAAATCAAAACAAGTATTCTTTAAAGCAAAGAATATTTTCTTGGGGGTGGGAAAGGGGTGGGCGCAGGGGAGAAGGGTTGGGAGTGGGAAAGGAAGAGCAAGGGATAGCTACAGAGGAAATTTTGATGCCTCTAGACAGACTATTTGGATTGTGCCTTTAAAGACTCAAATCATGACTGATTTTTGTCAGTTCTTTAATGATCTATGTCTCGGGTATGGAGAACATTCAGTCAGCTAGACGTTGAAAGCTACAAGTACTAGTTTTTTAACCCTAACTACGTGCAGTTATCCTTAAATTAACAAGATTCAGTTGGCTTTGAGTCTGACTGCTTTAACAGTTGTTTGCTTGTTGTGACTAATGAGGTCTCGAGTGTGGGTGGGAGCGGGGACAGGAGCCAAGGGACCCTCGTACCCAACTGTTGCTCTCGTTTATTTTCCTGGCAGACCCCAGCAGCGACCGCCACGGCCCCCCAACCGGTCCACAAGGTGTTCCGGAAGTGAGGGCCGGGCCCGACCGCCGGCAGCATCCGTCATTGGAGTCCAGTTACCCACCCGATCTTCACAAATCATCACCACATGGGGAAAAGCGGGCACACGCAAGGGATCCGAAAGGCAGCAGAGAGTATAGCAGACAACCCAATGAACACCACACCTGGAATGGGACTTCGAGGAAACCCGACAGCGGGGCATGCCGACCCAAGGACCGGGCGCCGGAGGGACGGAGGGACGCGCAGGCCGAGCGCACGGCAGCCGCCAACGGCCCCAAGAGGCGGTCCCCAGAGAAGCGGAGGGAGGGCACCCGCAGCGCCGACAACACTTTGGAGAGGAGGGAGAAGCACGAGAAGAGACGAGACGTCTCTCCGGAGCGGAGGCGAGAGCGGTCACCCACCCGCAGGAGAGACGGCTCCCCCAGCCGGCGGAGACGGTCTCTGGAGAGACTCCTGGAGCAAAGGAGGTCCCCCGAGCGCAGGAGAGGGGGCTCGCCCGAGCGCAGGGCCAAGTCCACCGACCGGAGGCGCGCGCGCTCCCCCGAGCGCAGGAGAGAGCGGTCCCTGGACAAAAGGAACAGAGAGGACAGAGCCAGCCACCGAGAAAGGGAAGAGGGGAATCTGAAACAGGATGCCGGCAGAAGTTCCAGACATCCCACGGAGCAGAGAAGGCGAGCTTACAAAGAATGTAGCACCGACCTCAGTATCTGAGACGCTGAGTCACATTCCAACCTTTACCGTGTCAAAGGTTCTAAGAGGAAAGTCACAAACGTGAAATTATTTAGTTTCTTACCTAATGAAGCATCTGACACCTGATGATCCTATGAATAACAACAAACATTTTATGCATTTGAAATCTTATAAGAAAAATATATATGAAAAGTATTGTGCCTGATGTATCATATTAAAGAAAGTATTTTTAAATGCATACTTTTTTGGAAATTATTTGCCAAATGCTGGCCCAAAGGGGTATAAATTTTGTTTCTACGTAACCTGTAGAATCGTCAAGAATTGTTCCCGTTTTTGAGCAATCTTTTTCTCTCCTGGTTAAATGGGGCTGTTGATCATTTTCTCTAAGGGAATTTATTGATTAAGTTTAATTAATTTGATATAGACTGTTATGTAGTGATATAGTGCTATACTGTAGTCGGCAGTTTTTCTTAAAAGCAAAGAACAAAAAGGCAAAGTTTTATTTGTAAAAGCTGAGGACCCTTTGGGATGGATTATGTTTGCCGATCCTAAAAGTAAGCAAACTGTATGACAAGACTACTATTGCAAATGAAGGATATTTATAGCTAAACTGCGTAGCACAAAGACGTTTTATATTGTGAGTTATAGTTGGTTCAGAAAACAGTTTGTAATCTCCCTGGCCCAGGAAGGCACAGAGACAAAAATGTCGGCCATCTTTACCCAAATACAACCCAAGCACAGATAGTCAGGTTCATGAGCATCTCCAGCATCTAATTAAATCTCATTGAAGGCAATGCCATCACAGCTTTGCTCAATTACTACAAGGAACAGACAACAAGCATTTTTCATGTTGTCTTGTCTGATCGGAGGCTGAATAGTAGATGGAACGGGGGACAGTGTGCCTGGTGTGAGGAAGACGTAAGATCCCCAATTTGGAAAGCATGCCCCTCCCGCTTTTAGTATAAGCCCATAGTTGCCCTTAGCCAAATTGGGGAGGAGGGAATGAGCCTTGGTGGAAGGAACCTCTCTGTTGATATTTAAAGAAGTGAGGGCTGTGGGTATTCATAGAAATCCCAATTTCACTTTGAAACCATAGTCCAAGTCTCTAGGTTGGTAGGAGAGAAAGGAAGGAAGTGGTCCCAGTGGTTCTAGATCTGGTTGGGAAACTTCTGCCTCATGACTCTGTCCTTTGAGTCCTTTGGACAGCAGCACAAAACATAACAATTTTTATTTTTAGACAGACCCATTCTTTTTGACCCCACAGGAGCTGTGGTTGGGTCGGCTGTAGCCCCGGGATGTGGTTTAAGTGGATTACTGCCTAGCTGAGCCAAAATGTTTGCTTGTACCTGTTGGACCACTACAGCAAACCGCTGCTTACAGTGCATTGTGTATTTCCGTAGTACTGTTTTGCATTTTCCATACAGACACAAAACTTTGCAAGTCAATCACTGTTGTTCCCATGGTACTGTAAGGAAAAAAAAAAAAGGAAAAAGAAAAAAAAAAAAAGAAAACCAGCCAATCATTGCGTGTACAGAGCTGAAAATTGTAATTAATAGAGCCTGTTGGGAAAAAAAAGAAAACAGCTGTTGCCTTTTTTTCTTGTATAAAAGAGAATTTATGACAAAATTTAGCTGTGAGGAATGTGATATGTGTTTATATTTCTGAATATGGAACAAATTGATTCATGGGGATATATTTTAATGTAAACTAAATCAGGTATGTAAAGTTGTTTTAAAATGGGAGACTATATAAGTAATTCTCTAGAGCTTTAGTTGGTTTGAATATCATCATTTCCTCCATGGTGAGCCTGCTTGTGAATTATTAAGCACTTGTTTGCATTCTCTGTTCTTCACTCATTTATTTCTTGCAGTGTGCTATGGACTTAATGCTCTTTCTGTATTGATGAAAAGCAGTATGTGGGCCAATCTTTTTATAAAACACTATGCATATATAAATATTACATTGTTCATAGCTTTATTTGACTTATGGGTTTATACATAACATTAGAATGAGTAGCTATAGTTGTGTGGACATTTATAAAACAAGTTCCTTTCCTGGAACAGACACAATATACATTCTGTAGCTAAAAAGGAGGGAAAAGTCTGTG